TTTTGTTAATTCCACAAACAAATGGTTTAACAAATAAAAAAAGTACTATTTATTTAACAATAATATTATTGGATGTATATTGATAAAAAATTAGTTGATTTTACCAAGTGTTTTTCAATGGAATTAAAAAAATTATTATTTTTCATCATATTTTCATAAAGTATAATAATAATTTAAAAAAAGTAACCAAAAATATTCGGTTGATGAAAAGTTATTGATTTTGTTAAAACATCCTAAATGATCCTGTACATGTTTCTATTTACTGTCGATTTACTTATCAAACTGCGAAATTTCAATTACAGACAAAACGACTATTGTAAATATCTAAAATAGAGACAATAATAAAAGAAGTTAAGTACACAAAAGTTCTTCGTAGTATCTAACAAAAAAAAATTACTCACATAAGGATTTTAATTTAAATTGAAATATTACAAATCTAGTAGCATCAGAAGATTAAAGTTGTTTTAAGCGTCCATTTTTTTTTTTTTAATTATTAAAACAAATTAAGGACCTTTTGTAGAGAAAAAAATGCTGAATTCAGATATCATCTCTAGAGGGATCTATGATCATTGGCAAATAAAAAAAATATTTGGTTATAATTTTAGAAAACTTTGACAATAAAGGTTGACTAGGAAAAAAAGTCTTAAACACAATAATTGACAAAACATTGCTATAAATTTCAAAAATAACTTAATTATCAGGGGAGGATAAAGTATATCTGGATTTAACCATAAAAAGATAAATTCAAGTTTTATTATTATTGGTGATTAATTATCAATGATGATTAATAATCAATTACCGTTGTTTAAAATGTTAACAAAATCGTTACTGCGCTGTTATTTTATGATTTATGTTCTAAAATTTCTTGAGAATTCACACATAGACATTTATGAGAATAAAGTTTTTCTTCTAGAATTTTTCATGAAATATCCTGATGTGATTTCTCGAGGTATTTTAGAACCTAGGACGTGTTACCGTAGAAATAAAAGAGCGCTTAAAGACTTTTTCATGTGTGATAAATATGTATTGATGTGCCTGTTAAAATAACAGGAAAATAAAGGTAAATTAGGAATCAAATGTTTTCAAATAATGGCAAAAATGAGTATCTCGGTTTTTGCATAAGAAATCTAAGCCAGATCATAGTTCATGTTAATAAGATTTATCACTACGAAAATATATTACTTTGAAAGATAACACTTTGGAGAGTACAGTTGTAAAAAGCTGTCAAAATAGGCCTACAACACATTGTTGCACTTTACTTTGAAATATCGACAACGAGGTGTACACAATTTAGAATTAATGCTCTGGAAGTATTCCTTTATTGTTGAATAAATAACTAGTTTCTAAAATTTATTATTTTCATACGAATCTAAAGACTTTGTCATGAAATATTTGAACATATTACATAAGGATACGTCTAGACGAAATCGGAAAAACGTTATAAAAATGGGAATTTATAATGATAACATGAAACGTGCATATGATGAAGTCAGTCATGTGCGAAATTCTCAGTAATTGATAGACAGTGATTACATTTTTTTCAAAGATTTACTTGCATACTAGACGTTAGATTTTGTATTATTTATTTATTTTTGTGTCGTATTCAATATTAATATAAATGACATTTTGTTAGATATAATGACGACTTTAGAATTCACAAGAAAACTATTCGACAATGGCACACTCTATAAGTATATGATGGCTATGGAATTCGTAACAGTATTTGGTTTTTCTAATAAGTCATTCTAATTTTTTTTTTTTGAAGAAACCGTACAAAGACTTCTGTTCAGCATAAAAGTGTCATGAGTGTGAAAAAGATTAAATGAAATTATATTTTTAGCGTTTAAAATTAGTTGGGTAGACATGAAAGGATTGAAGAATACAACACACCATATTGATTTTTAGAAATCAACAGAATAGGTTCTTATAACGATATTATAGTTGGTTATGTGAACGGATCAAAGTATTATAATTTAAAAAGTAACTTTAAATTTCATCATATAATTACATAAATTGATGTAGTGAAAAAACACAAATCATCTTTACTGTACCAAAAATGTCATTTGTGATAATTTGTGTATTAATATCACAAACATTTTTTTACCGATTATCGATGGAAATAGTTTAAATTTAACGAATAATCAACAAATGGGTTTCTCTACATACATTTACATTCGACTGAATATTTGTATTTACGTTTCGCGATAATAGCTACGCATTATAATTATTATAAATAATTGTAATATCACGAAAAAACCCGAGTTTGAAAATTGAATATTATTCTACGTTTAACAAAGTGGTATCGTTTTTTGTGGTGACACTGGTAGTGCCATTCGCTTGTTTACTGATAAACCTCTATTTGGCCTTATAAGACGTGCGAACGTGAGTGTATGTAGAGTAACAGGGCGGTTTCGATTAAAATGATTAAATATGTAAAAAATAAAAAAAACAGGACGAAACGTTTGCTGCCTTTATCACGTTATCTATTACTATATAATGTATAATAACAATGTGTGTTTAGGTATGGAAACGGACGCTGTCATAAGTCGGTCATGGTCGGAACATTTTTTAGCACGGAGCACAACTTGGTCAGATGTGTTGCTTTACAGTATTTTTATTTCCAAAATCAAAACACATCGTAAAGTCGCTCGCATATAAATCATTTGGGCCACTCACTCTTACATGATAATGAATGGCCGTCGGCTGAAGTTCAAGTAGGGCCGGGTTAGGAATTAGTGAGTTTTCTTTCTTGAAAAATAAGCATAAATCGTAATACCTATTGATTTTCTGTTACTTTCTAACCCGCAGAAACATGAAACGACCAAACGTGGACTGTACACTGTTAAGTAACACAGACGCTTAACTCGTTATGTCGCTCTTACACCCGGCTCCTCTTTTTTCTTACCCACCTACTGCTCACGTAACATTCGCTTTTTCATTTCAATTTGGGGTGTTTTAAATGCTCAAAGTAATGACTGCAACGAATATCAAAGTTGTTCCGTCCTTTGTGCACAATAACACGGCCGATAAAAGCTCCGGAACCTAAACACCCTGTAACCTGCACACCGTCTTCGAATTGCCGTGATGATATTCATAAGTGTTTTTTATTCAAATTCAATATTACTAATAATACACACAATGCATCCACGCTCACGCAATTCGTGTGCACGCCGTGTTATTCACGTTTGAATGTAACCTGCGGCTGTCGTCATCGTCGCCAAACGGTCGTCGTGGATTTGCTATTATTGATAAATATACATGTTTAATACTTCCATAAGTACAATGTGTTTTTCTTGCATGTCGAATGTGCATAAAATATGTCTATAAACTATTGCCGTCGCAATTCGTGCAAAATTATTTCATTTTTCCCTCGAGGTTGTCTCGCGCATGACTGCCACACTATTTTTCCTAGGCACACACCAATAAAAATAACCACTGTCGTACCTAATGATTTTGTTACTGTGTTAGTAAAACCACAGAATTTTAATATTATGTATTAAACATATTTTTCCTATTGATATTATATGATAATGTTCAGCAACGGCGCATTGTGAATGTTTTTTTTTTTTATAATATTGAAAATTTCGTTTAATTGAGTAATTGAATTACCTGGTGTATGCACTGTCATATAAATAAATTTTGATGAAGGCTAATGGTGAAAAATGTTAATATCTCGAGTGTTACACCTAGAGAAAGGATTCATTTATACATTTTGTTTGAGTCACTTTGAAGAGTTCCGAGTGTGAAACTTTATCATAGGATCATATAGTAGCTTAGAAATTTTTTTCGTTATAGGAGCGATTGACCCCCGAAATGCCACAAAACTATAATCTCGATAACAACACATAACTTAATTTTCAAGACGATTAATAAAAATGTGTACTGAGCGATGGTGTGTTCAGAATAACTAAATAAAATTTATTAATGTATGTAGCCCTAGTTATATCATTTATGTAATTATCCCCAACAGCTCAATGAGTTCCATCAAGTTAACTAAGTGGTAACCAAGCAAATTTTGGTCGTTCATTTATCAGATGGAAATTTTAATGGACTATTTAAACGTAAATGACGTGATCTCAAATTAAACTCGTTTATTTCTTTTAACAAATTCAACCTTGAGTAATTTGTACGTTGCTTTAATTTGAAATTTGAGAGTCGTTATGACGCAGTGAACACGTCTTTAATGACCTGTAATTTAGGTTATGCTACACCAATTGTTGTTGTATACTTTGGATGGGTGACCGCTAAAAAATTTTAACAGTAACTATACCGAGTAGTTTGGCGACCTAACTGAGTTATAAAAAGACCACTTTCAGTCGATATTTGCCATATGATAATATAAATAATAATTTGAAATTTGATGACACTATTGTTTTTTCCAACAAAAATGACACCTTGGGATATTTAGTTAAGTTTGAGCTCCGACGACAAAATATCATAATTTTTATTCGCAAAAATGTTTGTTATTCGTTATTAGGATTATTTAGTAGTAGGAGACCAATAGTATCATACACCGAGTATGTTTAAAATTTAACTGGACCCAATGAAACTTCGAGGGATACTCATTTCCAAGAAACCCTCTCACAGAGAAAAATAAAAACGGTATGTTCCATTTTAGCATTCACGTACACTCGGGAATTTACTATGGCCTGCTTTACTATATAGACCCTAACTACACTTGCAATAATACAACGATTTCCTTTTTTTTTTTTTTTTTATATATGTTCGTACATATCTAATCAGAAATTTTCTCAGGGTGTAATATGTTTAATAGGAATATATTTACATTTCGTATTGTCTATAATACTTAGTCAATATTTGATTATCTATCAGTAATCTATAAAAAGTCATGACAATTTAATAGCAAGGGCATTTCTGATCAGGTAATACTTTGTATTTAAATCATAATGAATTTTTTGACGAGTTGTATAAAAAAAGATTGAATCATCACAATTATCTCATATATTAATTAACGTTTAGTTGGTTTTCTCGATACTGACCGTCGTTAGCTGTGGTCGTCGGGCACGCCTAGTATTTCTATGTCGTGTAGTCCCGAACTCTGGATGGCCGTCACAAGCTGCGTCGCTCGCCCGCCGTGCTTGACGGACCGCATGACGGGCGGCGTTGTGTCCCTCCAGCCGTGAATTTCGGGATTGTAAGGCTCCAGCGTGTTGACGTATTCTCTCAGCGACAATGGTTGCAGTTGGAGCCCGTCCGCCGTACTGGAGTGTGTCATCTCTGTGTAGCCCACGGCGACTGTTTAAGAAAATTCAAAATCTTACATTAGTTGCAGGCGTTTATTAGAACTAAGATGACTAGCCACAAAATTAGCAAGAAGAGCGCAAATTTTTTTAGATAATTGCCATACTATAGTGGGTACCTATAGAATTCAATTCGAAATATATATTTGATGCATCTTAATGTAAATTTTTTTAATTTTATGTAGATATTATAAGAGAAATTTGGATAAACGTTTTATATTTGTGTACGAATTTTCAACAGTCAAAATTACACTCTATTTGTGTGTAATACATCACACTATAGGATTTTTTTAATCATTTCTTACAGTCTTGTTCAGGTCAAAAAACTTTTCTTCAATACAATATCACTACAGATGATAAAGAATATTCAGACTCTGAATAATTGTCAGATAATGTTTGATTTTAAAATTTTTCCAACTATAAAAATATTAATTCAAATAAGAGTTTTTACAAAATTATAGGCCATATTCAATGATGAAAACAGCCGGATGACAAAAGGCGTTGATGAAGATAATGACATTGACGTCAGTTTAATAAATCAGATGACACAAAAGGAAGAACAACAAACACATTTGCTGATGTCACAAAGAATATAGAATTGATTTGAAATGTTCAGAATCAGTTAACTATTTGATGCTTTTAAGTGCTCAATACACTTCATCTTGAAATAGAAAACTAGCAGCAGTTAGGTTCCATTTAAATATTTAAAAAGTATGTCATTAATTCATTTCAAATCTAAGTATATTTTATTGTTTTATAGATTATGAATACAACAAAAATATTTACTTCAAATTTAAATAGTATAATATTAATTGTTTACTAATTTTTTAAAAACTATTATAGTATATATATATATATGTAATGTACATGTACCTACATTTTATTTTTATACATTTATTTTTAACCAAATTGCAATTGTAACTTTATTTAATTAATTGTTTTATTTAACTCATTAAACACATCACATTATTTAACTTTAACTTAAAACGGATTAAAAATTCTTTATTATTCAATTGCATGTATCGTGTTCAGTAAAAAATTTGTTATGAATTTAAAAAATACTAATCTTAAGGCATCAATGAAACTTTCAAAAGAAACTCTAATTTGAAAATTATATAATCTACTCGAAATAATTCTAGTATTAAAATTTTTTTTGTTTAATTCTTATGACTCAAAGTAATATACATTTGATATTTTTCTTTTTTATGATGTTTAAGAAATTTCAATAAATAATCAACATTATCACTTTTATTTAAATTTAATTTTTGATTAAATTGAAAAATAAAAATTATAAATTAAAAAAAGATACTACGTTACTAGTCTACCGGAAATTCTATTAACTTCGAAGTTTTAAAGTTGTCAAAACGTTTTATAGTGTACTTATATGTCCTTATAAATAACTAAACAAATCTATATCAATGATTTATTTTGAATTCATCTATATGAATCGTAAAATCATTCCAAATTAAAATATTATTACTCAAAGTTTAAAAATTTCAGCAAAATGTTTAGCTAAATGACTTAGCAGGAAAGAATAGGTATGAATTGTTTATTTCAAATCGAAACCACGTCGATTACCAGCTGGTAATCAAAACAATTCAGCTGAAATGTTTTGATTTCTAGTGACAGTTGTTGCGTATATTCTTCACACGTTGTTGATTCATCGTATCTCAGTCTTCTAGCCAATAACGGTCATTCAACGTTAAGACACGACTATCATACGAATGAACTTTATGCGTAGATCGCAATACTACGTTTTCATTTATATTTGTTTATCATTATTTACTATCATTTATTCACGTTGTAAGTTACTTAAAGTAGACAAGGTCAATGACGTTTATCCTTGTTAGGCGACGAGAAAAATGGAAATGTGTGCATAACCCTAAAAAAAACTTGTATATTGATTAGAGCGATGTACACTCAAGCACATACACAGACATTTACGAACAGTATCGTCGCCTCCGTAATTTGTTTCGGTGTAATTGTACGGTTTCTTCTATATAGTTTAATTTTTCGTGTACGCCGTGCAACAGACAATGCTGAAGTTGCGAAGATTTTAATATTCTATTGAAAACTTTTGGTTCGACTCGGCAATTCTCTGCTGTATTCAGCTCTTTTGGACCGCTGTTAGAGCGTTTGAAATGTAACGGTTAATAATACAAGTACGAATACTTTGAGAGTGCTTTGGTTGGCAGTCAAGATATGGGTGTTATTTGGATAAAAAAACGTTTTTCATTTTGGTATTATTTCAACTACCGCGAACGTTGTTCAGGCTATGTGGCGGCACTTATTAAATTATTCAAAAAGGTGGTCGATCACGTTGTCGGCGGGGCTAAGTGGAATGAAATATAAATTGGACAGAGGCCGTCCGCGATGGCGAAAGAGGAAAAAGGCAACCTTCAAAGGGGTAACGCTAACCTTGGAAATGGACACACCGCCGTCACACGACGTGCCACTACCAATCGATCGTTCAACTCTTGCCAAACACATGCGAAATATTAAATAACAACCCACACGATTGCATGGCGTTATGAAATGTGGGTCAAATAGCCAAAAGTCGTATAAGAATTAAACGTTTTGGAAAAGCGCTACACTACGTTAGCCACCGAGTTTCACGGTCATATCGTAGGCGGCGGCAGCTACGACCATGGTAGTTAATTTTTCCCACTAATAACCCCTGCCGCACCCTTTCGAATTTACCGTTATCGTCACGACACTATGACCGACAGGTCATCTTACCCAAGTTTTCGGGAAGTTCGTTCTGTCGTTTCCAGCAGCAGAATATTTCTGATATGATCCATCTGAAGAAACTTTTGCTCGAGTTATTCATCACACGGTACCAGACGGATACCGAACAGTACAAAATATTCGCTTCCGTCATAGTCCATCTCGACTGAAACAATAAAACAAAAAAAACACAGTCTATACATTTGAATAAGTCACTGTCTATAGTATAATAAAATGGTCACATGGTTCAGTGCAAGTGTTCGCGCTGTGTTCGATGGGAACCGTTTCAGTACCAAAATGTCCATGAATTATGCGGAAAAAAACGTTAGGCCATATTAACATGGCTCTTGTTACCGTAAAATGTAATGGTCGACGTAAAGATCCTCGAATTCTCGGTGCGAGATACGACATTGACCAACGCGTTGATGACAATGATAAACGTAAGGATTGACTTGTACATGTACTAGCCATTAAGTACAGCTCTTACGAGACTGTATCATTTGTCCGGAAACACTACGCGGTTCAAAAAATTGAACGTGGCATGAAACTAAAAAAGCTCATGGAAAAAACTTTGGAAGAACATTGCCCGATATAGCGTTGTACGCGACTGAACCGCACGAAAGAAATAACGTCAACTTAAATTTTTACCATCGACTTTAAAGTTTGCTTTAAACAGACACATGGGCATACACTCGTTTGAACTTGAAAATTTTTCAATAATAACCACAGTTTGGAAATGCAAAAACAAAATGATTTGTCTGGTCACCGAGACCTCGATTTCTTTAAAAAGCGCCATGGCATGGTGTTGAGAAAGGGCTCATATTTTTTTGGGGAGTGCGGGGAAGGGCTCTACTATATTTGGCGGTCGGTTATTTTTAGGACACGTGTCGCCGACACGATTGCGGCGAAAAATATAGTTTGATATTAGCGTTTGATGACAAATAAATCATAATGCTATTTATAATTACAATTATTAACTTTATTGGTAATAATTAACGTGGGCGAATAGCTGCAGGTGATTACGGCGATGACACTTCAACCGACGGAAATACTATTGCCGATAAGGTCCTGTACGTCGACCAAGACGATAACGGCGCGCTGTTAAAACGAACGGGACGAACGCAGCTGATTTCGGTGGTGATAACATTTCGAGCAATTTCATTTGAACGTTTGCCACGTGAAACCGTTAGTACATGGTGGGGAGGGGTTAGCGACAAGAACCGTGAATGAAGGATGAGACGCTTTGTGCTGCCAAAACAACAAAAAAGAATAATTCTATACGTGTGTTATTGTATTTTTAGACACGATTTAATGCAATTATTAAAACAAACGTACGTTTGCCACTGTCCTGCGGACAAGTATAAATTTAGATAGGTACAATTACTCATGTGCCATTGCACTATCAACAAGATTTAAAATAATAATAATAACCGTCAATATTACGTTTGTCTCTTGTAAGGTCCTCCTGCCGGTATCGATGATCTCGGTAATGCAGGAAGAACAACGTCCGTCTTTGACTTTTGGTTTTTATCATCTCCCATCTCCTTCCACAGCAACCAGTTCAATTAAGATCATTCCGCAAACGTTATCATCGCGTTTGGAACATGTGCGACGACAAGTCATCGAATTAACAAAAAACTATTTGAACACAAACACTTAAACTAATAGCGAATTTGAACACAAACAGTATTGTAATAGAAAAGTGAGATTTACAGACGGTTGATAAATATCGCAATAGTTTTTTTATTTAATTAGCACATATTAATTATTCTACTGAATGTACGTCATGATACATTAACGAAGAGAAACTACAGTTCAGAACTGAATTAAAAAATTTTAATTAAAAAAAAAAAAAAAATGTATTTTAGCAATTGAACTTTTGAATATACTATACTTGAGGAGAGTTCGAATAACTATTATTATACATGGGCGGTTAGCATATAATGGTGACGGCGATGGCGGTGGCGGCAGCGTTGTCGACGATGTCGTGTCGAACTTTTGACTGACCCGACAAAGGGCGAACCGCGAACGCGGAGACCTTAAAACGATAGAGCGCTACCTTTAACAATAATAAATAATCGTAAAATATATATATATATATAATTGTGTTTTTTACGTACGACATCGAAGCTGACATTGACGTTATAACGGTCATCAAATGAGCGAATACATATACTATAAATATATAAATATATTTATGTATAAACATAACACTGGTAGAAATTCTCAGTGACCCGTAAATAAAGGTAAAAGAAAGAGAAAGAGTGAGGAAAAATGATTATTTTTTACTTTTACGTGACGTGTCCTCCTTCCCCATGAGACCTTCCATCATGATAAATAATGCATCTGTTTTAAAAAATTAATTTAGCATTCGTTGTTTTGTGTGTTACTAGAAAAGGTCGTTATCTTTGCAACCAAATGATTTGACGTGTTTCGAAATCGAATGCCGTCCACATCGTCGACGTATTATTTTATTTACGATTAACTTAAACTTGAAACTTGACCATCTGACCCTTCTGCTCGTCTCCGGGTAATTACTTTAATTTAAAAATTTAATGTCCTTCGAAGATAGGAGCCCTGTATATCAAAACAGTTCAAATATACTTTAAAATTAAAAATGAGCTCTTTGTTATTGTAAAAAATACCTTTATGTCGTTGGAAACCCAAATTTAATATATTTTTTTTTTTTATAAACAAGGGTCCTTTTAGATCGATCCATACTAATATATATTGATGATACAATGCCTAAAAAATTGTGGGGGTTCTTTCCGAATTAAAATATGTATAGTAATGAAATAAATAGTAAAATGTATTAAACATTGATGTAGAATTTTTCTGAAATGTACTCCAAAAGAAAATTGTATTCAATCGAAGCATTTTTCAAACATTTGAAGTCGTTAAATGTTTAGTAGTATGCTTCTATAATTTTTCTTTTTTCTGAGTTTTTCAACTTTGGACATTTAAGGAAAACTTGTTGTTTTTTAGGCAGTTATGGAATTTTAATAGAAAAAATATTTCATAATTTGATGTATCGCTAAGTATTATCAGTTAAGAAAGTTTTAAGTTTAAATAAAATCCATGCACACATTGTAAATACAAAACATTAATAGCAAATACACCCGAGGTAAATACTAATTAAATAAAAAATATCGATAGCGTAATACGAATTTCGTAGTGTAAAATTATTTTTATATAATTTACATTCAGGGCATTCTTTTCAGTAATATAGCTAATTAGTTATTGTATTTATATTACAACATTCATTAATTCTATTTTAATAATTCGCATAAATGCCTTTACGACACGCAACAAACGATTACTTAAAATTAAATAAATTAATTTAAATTGTACGCAAAGGTCTATGCAATGAATATTTTATTTTGTCTGTTGAAGTTAAATATATATAATACATTATATAATTTAAATTATGTTAAGTAATCGATTGGTCTAATAATAATAATATTTATTTAAGCCAAATAATATTACAACAACGGTTTGAAGTTAAAAACGTTTTGCACTAAGTGATCTAAGGATTAAATAATAATCAATTAATTATATTATTTGGATATAAACTTAAAAGTATCAGTGTTTATTTTTAGAACTATCTCGGGTAGCAGGGTAGGGCAATTACATATTACCACAATATATTAAGGTCGTTGTGAAAAAAAGGTTTTTTGATTATAAATAGACACAAAATTTTGCTGATTGCCTAATGATCTACACAAAAATTAAGGCCGTTAAAGTTTAATTCAATAGATTGAGGTTTAAGACACATAATTTACATATTAAGTATAATTCGGTTTTTAGGCTATTTAGATAATACTAATGATATAACTAATTCTACATAGTTAAATTATAATGTATTTTTTGTAATAAACTGCGTGACTAAATAATCAAATGATAATCGATATTATTGTTTCTACGATTGCTTCAATCATTAAACGAATAATTTTCCCATAATAGATGAGTTTAGCTTTATTTTATATTTTATAAACTTTAGGTTTTTTTATATAAAGAAATTTAGAAATTCAAGCCATTTATCATTTATAATTAACTCAACACCTACAAAAGCACTTGAAAAAATAAATCAAATGATGATTTAAACATCGTTTTCTAAACGAGCGTATTTGCTGATTTTTTTAAAGTGCTTTTTGTGACATTGGTTTAATTTTATTTATTATTAATCAATTAACCACAAATAGTGAAATATAATTTTTAGGGGATTTAATTAAATTAATTTTATTTTTTATTTTTAAGTTTAACTTAAAGAATTATTGTTAGACTGGAAATTTATTCAGCATAAAAATAAATATTTAGTAAAATAGTACTAAGTTAGTATTTGATCAATAAATGTCTAGGTGTTAATCAATACAAATAAAGGAGCAATGTTACTCATGAAATTAGGATTGTATATAGTTAAAGATAGAGCATTGTATATAATACTACATAAATAGGCTGACTTTTTTAAGAATGGAGAGTTTTGGAACTTGGCCCTTGTTTACAGTTAGATTTTGGAAGAATCAAAACTAACAAAAAAAGATCTAAAAAATTCAACTTATCTGATTATTACTTTAAAGAATGTTGACAAAATAAATTTTCAATTAATAAAAAATTTCATTAAATTTTTACTAGCGTATATTTATGTTATTTAGTTAAAAATTGGTTTTATTAATTTAATGGCCACGGAGGGTTGCCACAAAGCGCCTAAGAAAAATGTTTTTATTACTTTTTTAAGTGAAATACCTGTTCAATCAATTCTTAATAGTTCTAAGTAAAATATCCAATGGTGGACTGAGACCCTGAAAGCCTGTAACGGGCAAGTTTAAAGAGGCTCTATTAAAGTTTAAAGGGTCTTTTTTTGCTCACAACGTCAACAGAAATAAGCATATTAATGTGTTTTAATTTTCTTTAATTAAAAAATAAAACATTGTAAATTTCGTTCAAACGCATAAAAATGTATAAAGTAATATTATTTTATGTTAACTAACTATTTTTTTCTGGCTTAAATAGACTATTTAGGCCCTTTGCGGCAATCACCACAACTCTCCACTTGTTCTGTTAATCTCTTCTTCATTGTTTATTTCTAATAACTTTAGACTTTTTTGATCTCTACCCAACTCTGTCTTGATCGGCCTTTTTCTTTTCAGTATTAATTTAGTGATTACATTGAGTATTTGTTCAAGTCTTCACCTTAATGTTCTGTCTAGCTTATTATTTAACAGATTTAGTTTATTTGCATTAAAAATAAAAACAACATGCATACACGATAAATATCGTAAATGCACATGATTAAAAAATCCCATAGTCTGTTATGAAGTGATAAGTTATGACTATTTTATGTTTATGGTAGGAGTAGTAATAATAGGACATATTTTAGACAAGACGTTCATAAGATAATTTAATAATAGTAAAATAAAATTATTTTTATCGGCGCTGTGGCCGCAGTCTTAATCATTATTGTTTTTTTTTGTTTATTAAAAAAGATTACAAGGCAAGCAAAAAAAAAAATATTTAGGATATAAACGTATAATTTTTATTTCATCATAGTTTATCTTTTGCGTATACTATTTTGTATAGTCCATAACAACAAACATTACTTTTGTGTTTAAACATAAATTAACAACAATTATTAGTAAAAAATTTTTAGGTAATTACCGACTACTTCAGGACCGAGAATAGCGTTCAATAAGGACCAGGGACGATCGCTATTCATCCACCTTGCCAGCCCTCGCCAGAATATTATTGCTACAGGTATCAATATGACACCTATGGCATTAATGTAATGTAATTTAATTATTTTCATCCATGTCAATTGACGCCAATAGCTATCGTGACACTAATTTTTTATTATTTTATGTAATAAAACCATGTTTTCATTTAATAATTTAATAAAATACTTTTTATTTGTTACACGTACAGCATGATAACTATGTTATGTGTATTGTATACATAAATAGTACCTAATGATTATAATGTTGAGTCAGTTTTGCTCATACATTTAAATTATGGAACTAACTAGTATATCTATTTATATTTTTAAATAAAAGTCACGCGACATAGGTAGTCGCATCACTAATAAAGCCAATAGGTCACGGTTAATGTCCAAGAGCATTCACAGGGTATCGCCCATAATTTGTAAATACGATGTTATTTAAAGTATAAATTAGTATTTAAAATTTTCAATAGTAAAATTATTTTAAATTATATACTCTTCAAAAATATGTCTAAATAACAATAAAAGATGAAGTTATGAATAAATTAATAATCTTTTTCAAAAATTGTAAGGACTTATTATTATAGCTCTAATTAGCTAATTTCTCTAATGTGTTAAATTTAATAATACCTTAATTTTCCAGAAGTTAAAATTCTTATTAATTTTTTAAATGATTGAATTAAATGAGTAGCAGGGGCGGACTTAGGAATGTTGTGGCCCCTGGGCGGAATGCATTGTGGGGGCCCCTTATACATAAACAAAGAAATATATTTTTTTAATTATTAAATAACAATTATCATATTTGCGATACCAATGTATACCAAATTTGCGGGGACCCCTGGGCTGCAGACCACTCAGCCCTCCCCTAAATCCGGCCCTGATGAGTAGTATGAATCAATGTTTTAGTCAAATTACTTTTAATTATGATTGTTATATTAATGCTCAATTGTGGATTTTTATACTATTTATAAATAATATTAACTATTATTAAGGGATCAATTGATTAGGTGAATGGAGAGGTCTGTACCTCTTAAGAAAAATCAAAATTTAATTATCTATAAATAAATTATGTTTTTTATTTTAATAATATAATTTCATATATATTTTAAAACTAATTTTGAAAATTAAGCAGATCATAAGTAATGCAAAGAGAGACCTTATAGAAGCAATAAGAAAAAAATTTGTATGTCATGTAATTTTTTTTAATGCTCAATTAAACATTAGTGATTATTTGACTTTTAATTACAATAAATGCAAACTTTCTAAAAAGTTTAATTGCTGATAGAACTATAGTGTTATAATACTGAATTAAAATTTAGTTTTTTACTTATCGTTTATACAAGTTGGAACTAATTCCAATTCTAGAGATGTATTAATATAAAAGTTTTCATTTATTAAGTAAAATTTATATATACATTTTACTACATTTACTTTTTATAATTATTTTAAAACCATATATCGATCGTTTCACATTTACTTATTTTCACACAAATAATTTTTTTTATTAGTAAAATATTCTATATAATTTCATACAATTTTAATCTAAATAAGTTTCCCAGATTATAGTTTTAAATTTTTCTTAGATATTTTAAATATTTCTATGAAATATTTTGTTTACAATTACATTAGGTTGAGTTGGGTTTGGTTGGTTACAATAAGTACATTAGGTTTTTTAAGTCAATTAATGCATAATGTAAAAGAGTTGAAACAAAAAAATTTAACCTAAGTAACACCACGGTTTTAGTTGCCCTTAAGAAGTAACTAGCGCTCGAAGTAAAATTTGAAGATATCAAAGTAATATCCCTCACGAACAAGATTGCGCTGTAGTACAGATAGAATAGAATAGACGAGATTTATCTATTCTGTAGTAAGATCGTCGAAAATGTTTTGCATAGCCATATCACGCCTTTTATCTTTAATACCAGTTTTTTTACATCTTATTTTGGTAATCCTGTCGTGTTATCATATAAATGTGTATAATATTTAAAAAATGTTTACTTAGTACAAAATACTGTCGTGTTCAAACTTGAAATTTAAAAATAGTTTTTGTTTTTTACCATTTATGTGTCAGTAATCATATTACTACAGTAAGTTACTAAGCTATTAAATTAGTAGTTTTTATAAAATGTGATTTTATAAAAAATTACTGTTGTATTGTATAACTGTATCTATAAAAATTCAATTAAAATATTTAAAACTCAAATTTATTTTACAAATGATTTATGAATATAATTATAATTTTTAAGTTTTTGATGTAGCTGAATTCAGAGTTTAACTTTTTGTCAATAAGCTTTCAGAATATGGCTTCAAAACAGGTTAAAAATAATTTTCATATTGTCATTACTTTAAAACAATTCTTTAAAATTTACTCATTATAATTGGAAAAAATATGAATTTTTTAATTAATGTAATAAAGATTAGTTAAATGAAATTAAAATCTTGCTTCATTAGCCATATGTATCGATTTTTAACATCTTTTGAATATTTAAATGATTTGACTGACTTTCTAATTACCAATTCTTGATCTAAGTTTGATTATACTCATATTGTAGTTTTCAGCTCTTATACAAAAGGTTTTGTGGTAATTTGCTACTTATTTATTTAATTAATTGATTTATTATACACAAGTATGTCGGTTAATATAAAAATTTTATGATTATATATTTATTTTAACTGTGGTTTAGAATCTGATCTATATACAAGAAATTTAAAAGTATTCTGATGATCGTGTATCATAATATACATTTTTATCTCTAATTGGTTATTTATATAAATAATGAATTAAAGTATGATTGATAAAATGGATGAAAAATTGTATGTGGTAATTTAGGTATTAATTATCGAGCTATATTGTAGCTGTATTGTAATAAGTAATAAGAGTTTGATTATTTAAATTTTACCAAGTTTGATTAAATAGTTTAGGAACTTAAGCTTGATTACACTAATAAAACTTAGTTTAAGATTTAGAATTCTTCTACAGAAAATTTTTTTCCCTCATTAGTATTTAATCTACTTTTAAATAAAAAACTTAACTTCTGAATTAACCGTTATATTTATCACTTTAAAATGTTAGTATTATCCATTTTTTAGTACTTCTTATATATATTGTCTTTAATAATTAAAAATTTAAATAATTAATGAGTATTTTACTTGTAGATAAAATTGAAATTTTACATTTCGTATGGTGAATTTAATGTAAATATCATGACTTAGGTTAATATTAATATTATTTTAGCTATAAATTTTTTATATTTTACAAAAGTTCATTATTCAAGTGATGTATTATATTATTTGCTATATAAATAACTTATTAAGTAAATATTTCATACGGCTTAAAAATAAGTTAAAGTATTTTAGGCTATATTTGAAGCAATTTCTGATCAATCTGATGTTGTGCCATTATGCCCACGATATAATTTATACTTGAAACCTTCAGCTAGAATTTTGATTGTTATCCAATTAAATGGCAAAAGTCAATCTTCAGTTTCAAATTGGCAGTTAATGGAACGTCTGAAAGAAAGTATAGAACCAGACAAATTTTCAAAACTTTCAGTCTTAATTACATCATCAGAAATTGTCAAGTTCGTATGACTTAAAAAATTAATGATGTATTAATATATGTATATTTTTAAATGTACTAGGTTTGATGCAGAATTATCAGATAGGACACGATTAAATACAATTTTGTCTAAATTGACTGATAGAAGGTTCAAATTTCCCGGATTTACACATTTACTTACTGTAAAGGCATCAGAAGTAAAACCAGATTTTCCAACACGCCATGATTGGGATTCTTTTTTCCGCAATAACCCAGAAATGAATGAACGTAAGCCAGGAGAGCGGCCTGATACAATTCATATTGAAAACTTACCAGTAGAATGGTTGACTGAACCAGGTGACAAAGTACCTTCTGAATGTAAATTAAAAGAAGCTTTTGAAATGTTTGGAGAAATAAGTCAAATAGATCTTCCAGCAGCTGACCCATCTAGAGTTAGTCATATAGTTGGGATATGTGATGCTTTTATTCAATACAAAGAGTATTCATCTTTTGTGAAAGCAATGGGAGCATTAAAAGGATCAAAACTAGCTTATATTTCTGATGATAAAGCATTGTCAGCTAATATTAAAGTAGATTTTGATAAATCTAAACATATGACTATAAGTTCAGTTACTAAAAGATTAAGAAAAAGAAAAAAATTTTTAGCCAAAGTTAAATTAAAACAAGAAGAAGAAAGAATTGCACAAGAAAAAGAATTAAAAAATATAGAGGGAGAAAGGTAAATTAAAATTATTTATTTTTTTCATTAAATTAAATAATATAATTAATTTTAGAAAAAAAAAACTACATCAGCTGGAAAAAAAAAAGAGAAGACGTAAATTGCGAGAAGAAAAACGTAGAGCTGTTTGCTTAAAAAAGTTAGCTGACGAAGAAGCTGAAAAAATTAATCGAAAAATCGCAATAGAAGATAAATATTTAATAGCAGCTCAAAGAAAACTAGAATCTATTCATTTGCTCAGAGAATTATTAACGAGAATTAAGGTAATTCTATTATATTGTGTGTAATATTATTTATTAAGTATTATGTTTTTAGGCCAATATAATTTCAACTAACAAAACTTTAAGTGTTGATAGTTTACATAATTCAGCTATTATTACTGTAAGTAACATGAAAAATATTCCTATTTCATATGAATTATATAACGCTTAAATAGGGTGTTAATGAAATATTTACAATGTCATAGTTACTCCCATTAGGTAATTTTGTAAGTAATTGGTAAAGTAATAGTCAATATTTTTTTATTGTTTCATCATTGAATTAAAGTTTTGGTCATAAAAGACTTATGACATTTGATGACTTACACTTTATTTTTACCAAATGGGAGTATCTTAATTCGTTGTAAATTACTTATTATGTATCATATAAATAATATATATTTTTTTTTTTGTATAAGTTTTAAATTTTAAATTTATAAGTAAGTTGAACTCTTGAATTCATAATAATTTATTATAATTATTAGTTGATTAATCTATTGATATTAAATATTCCATCATTAAACTATGTTATAAAGCCCTAAGCGTTAAAAAAAAAATGATTTAATCAAAATTCCAATAATATTTATTTATACAATTTTTTTAAGGGTCATAAATATACAGGCATTGAATTAGCATTTAGACAGAGAATGATAGAAAAATGGAAACCCAATAAAATCAAACAATTAGAAAGTTAGTATTGTTAACTTTAAAAATTAAATCATCTATGGATGTGTAGGTGATTACATGATGAAGTAATAATTTACTTAAGCTACTATGTGTGTGGTCCTTTATTCAAATCCTAGTTTGTAGGATTCATATACTACTTATAGAGTACATGAGCTTTTTAGGTCTTTTGTTAAAGTAGTGACATAGGTATATACTGTGCCTAAATCTTGACGATACTAGAATTTTAATTATTTCCTCAAAAAAGGCTAAAATATTTTAACAATCATTTTTTGGGTTATTTCATATAAAAGTATAGCATAAACATAAAAATTGTAAAAAGGATTAATATAAATGAAAATGGCATATAATATAATATTTGTATTATTAATTAGAAGAAAATAGTATTTTGTATTATCTATAAAAATTTAGAATAGAAACATCCTAGAGATAGTATCGTAAAAACTTTTTATCCCTTTATTTTTATTTTATCTTGGTTAATAGAAAAAAAAAGAAAACATCCAATTCATAGTTATTTATAGGGCTGTGATATTAATACATATGCATGATTCTTTTGCTTTTTCGTTCAAGAAATGGGTTTGATCAAAAATTGTTATGAGTTATATGTAATTTAACTAAATTAAAAAAAAAATGTTTTTGTTAAATAGTTCTTACAACAAATTTTTTAGCTTTAAAAATTACAAAAATTAAAAAAATATACTGTCCTTTACAATTTTATAAATTTTTACAAAAAATAAATAAAGATTTTTTGTAAATGTTCATTTTTAAGATTGAAATAACAAATTTGTATAGATAAAACATTTTATTGATTTAAAAAAATATTTTTATTAGTTAATTTAATTAGACAATGTAAAGTCCAATGTCTAAAATTTAACTTCTGTACCATATGTATCATTCAAGTTTCATATTTCACACTATAGTTAAACAAAATACTGAATTCTGGAAGCCATGGCTCATTCATTAATCCGGCCTTAATCGTATGTTTAATTAATAATTGTTAAGAGTTTATATTTATAAAGAATTTAATTTTTTTGATAAAATTTCATACCCAATGGTCTTTTTAGAAAACACCTCGTTTTTTATAATCCTGTTAATAGATAATTTTAAACAAATTTCTCACAAAAATTATAACTTACCGTTTTAAATTTTGTTTTAGCATCTGGTAACCAAACTATTAGTAATCAAGGCCTGAGATTTAATAATTGGCGTGGTCGTGGTAGGGGTCGTGGAATACTAGGGAGATATCTTATGCCCCACATTGTTGATCCATTACAATCAATTAAAAATGGACTTGAAAATCCTCAAAGTAATAATATTAGTCAAATTGAAATTAAAAGCAGCACTAGTCGAAGTCGTAGTAAAAGCAAAGAAATAAAACAAAAACGTTCTACATCTAATAGTTCAAGGAGTTTTTATTATAAAAACAAAAGTCAGAGTAAGAGTAGTAAAAACCGAAGTAGAAGTCGAAGTAGAAGTAGAAATTGGCGGAGTAGAAGTAGAAGCCGAAGTTGGAGGAGAAGTCGAAGTAGAAGCTGGCGGAGTAGGAGTAGCAGTTGGCGTAGTAGGAGTAAGAGTTGGCGTAGTAGAAGTAAGAGTTGGCGTAGTAGGAGTAGTAGTAGAAGTTGGCGGAGTAGAAGCTGGAGAAGTAGAACTAGGAGCAGGAGTTGGAGAAGTAGAACTAGGAGTTGGAGGAGTAGAAGTTGGAGTAGGAGTAGAAGTAAAAGTTGGCGTAATAGAAGTTGGAGCAGAAGTAGGAGTAGAAGTTATAGCAGGAGTAGAAGTTGGAGTAGAAGTTCGAGCAGGAGTAGAAGCCGAAGTAGGAGTAGAAGTTGGCGTACTAGAAGTAGTAGTAAAACTTGGCGAAGTAAAAGCTCTAGTAGATCGAAAACTAATAGTCGTTCAAGTAGCATAAGTTATTTTAAAACTCGTAGAAGTTCTAAATCTGATAGAAGCTGTACTAAAAGTAAAAGTAAGAGTCCAAAAAGTCTAAAATTGAACGGTTCTGTTTATAAACATAAAAAAAAGAAAAATAAAAAGAAAAAGAAAAAACACAAGAAACCTAAAGAATAATTTCCCATAAAATAAAAATTAATTATAAAATTATAAAATATAAAATTTAAAAATTTGTTTTTACTCTATTTGTTAAATTATAATTACTGAAATGATGTTTGGAACATTTTGTTTGTATTATAAAAATTATTTTAATGACAATGTGTTTTTATTAAATACAACTTAACATTCTATTTTGTTAAAACAAAGTGGCTTAAATTTAGGTATTATGATTTACGAGACATAATAATATAAAATTAATTAATTAAATAGTCATAAACTATTTACAAAAATATATAAATAAAACATATAAAACGTGCAAAGCACTTTATTTTACAAATAACTTATTTTATGCATCTCTTAGGAATGGAAAATAGAAGATGTCACTTTTCAAAAAGTAATTCGAGCGGCTCTGTAAATTTTGTTTACTTAATTATTATGATTATTAGTAACTATTTTAATCCGTTGTAGTAATTTGTTAGGACTGTCTATTTTTTTTGTGATTCTTCTTGTACAGATTTTATAAATTGCATTACTCTTTGCCATGGAAATGCAGGTAATGATTCTATAAAAACAATTTTTTTATTACAAATTTAAAAATGTTTTATATTCACAAATATTAAAAATTATCAAACTTACGGCCATATAATTCGCTGTATCCTAGCGATCTGGGTGTCCTTAAAGGTCTAGCTTGTCTTCTTGATATAGGCGCTTGAGTTGAATATGAAGGTGCAACTGTTGTTGAATAACCTCCTTTTGTTACACACATCATACCATAGACCCTGATACCTGGCACACTAGCATATGTTGGCTGATCATGGCTCATTGGACCTTCTAAAATGTATGAGGTTAATTATTATAAATATGTTTCTTTTTTCTTTAGTTAAACATGTTAGCTCACCTAGTAAGCTAGTGTATGGACACCGGCATATGACCAAATAGTGTGATTTGCCAGTGCGGACGTTTTGTAGTGCTAACAATGACCAGTCTCTTGGTGATCGACATGTTCTCATCTCAGCTACGGGTTCGCAGGTCTTGATAAGTGTCAAAACCTGTTAATATACAAAAAAAAGATAACTATATAAAATAGTTTAAAGTAGGTGTAAAATGGTGATTAAAGTATAATTGATTGCTTTGAAATACGGATTGTAACAACTATAATATAATCAATTTAAAATAAATAATCTAATTTTGAAATTTATTCAGAAGTATAACACTATTTTTATATTTAACAATATTTAATTAAAATTATATTGTATCTATTCAAAGTTGTCATTCAAGTAGTAAAACATCTTAAATAATTTAAATTATTCAGTTAGTTTAAATTATCAGTAATAGACTGAATAATTGACTAATTTAATCATGTTGGATGTGGTTCCTTACACCTCTCCCAACTAAATAATAAACAAGGTAAAACAACACTAGATAATTTATAAGATATTATTTATTGTCAACAATTTTTATTTATTAAATATAGTCTTCATTAAATAGTTATTTAAACATTTTCTGATTTTACAAGATTATATTTTTTAGAATTGAATGTTTAATTATTGTATTTGATCATGTTAACAATTGGTATGACAATAAATAAGCCCAACAATACTTTTTGTGTTTTTCTTTATCCATAATTTTATATTACTTCACCTAAAAATTTTAATTTTATGTCTTGTAGCTTTGTTGATAGAATTTTTAAGAAAACTAGCTTAGCATTAGTAATGTTTTAATATAACAATTTCAAATTGTTAAAAATATTTTTTATACAAATAAGTAATATTTTTTTAGGTTAAACAGGGTTTTTTTTTTACTGCGTTTACAAGTAACACTTATTTACATAAGTCACATTTATATTTGAGTTCAAATATTCGTTTTCTGAAAAGTTATAATTTTCGACTTAACCGCTAACTCATAAAAAACATCAATTAAACTATTCTTTAATAGGTTTTGGATTTAGATTTGTTTATCAAATATATTCAGCTGCATTTTAATTAAAAAAATAGTTGATGATATTTTTACTATGTAACAAGTAAATGTATTACAATTTATCAAAATAAATATATATACTTGAAGCGCTCAAAATACATTAGGACTAGACAACCAGATTGAATTTGGATTTGTCATTCTATAACTTTTTTATATTCTTTAATATTGTTTTTTAGGCAGAATAAAAAGATACATCTTATAATATATCTTAAAGATATATTATATATCTTTATTCTCTAGACTCCAAAACAGAATGGTAGCTTATATCTTATAGAAACCTAATGGATTTTGATTTATTATTGTAGGTGTTAGAAACGCTCATTTTCATTTAAAACATATTAATAAAATATTTCATTGCGTAGTGTGTCGACTGTCAAGTAGTCCAAACTCAAATGACAATGTAACTGGTTTTCTTTTTCATCATATCATAGTTGTCGGTGAGTGTTATGGTGTATTATGAACCTGAGGTGTCATGCGTACACTTAGATGATTACATGTTAAATATAAATTTTTAATTGAGTTGAATATCATACAAAGATAACTTAAGATCGTTTAAAAGTTTTTAGTTTCGATGCGAAGCTGAGAAGGTATGGTTTTACTAAGATGTGTTTTTTTTTTTTTTTTTTTTTTTTTTTTT